CGATGCACCGGTGTTCGAATCCCGCAGGCGGGTACCAATTTTTCTAATGAAATACGTACTCAACAAATGTTCACGATTGACTTCCACGGTGAAGGAATAACATCGTGTAATAAAAATGAAACCCGCAAAATTATAATTTGCTTAATTACTGGTGGTAGGACCTCTTGTGAGTCCGCGCGGGTGGGTACCATCACCCTGCCTATTTCTGCCGTGAAGCAGTAATGCGTTTCGGTTTGAAGGGTGGGGCAGCCGTTGTAACTATACTTGAGACCTTAGAACTTGTATCTCAAGGTGGGTGGCGCATTTACGTTGTGGATGTCTATGGGCTCCAGTAACCACTTAACTCGTCCACCCATCTAAGCAATAAAAAAAAAAAAAAAATCATAGTAATTACGAGCATTTTAATTTTCACGGTTTTAATTTTTATTATAATATCATGATGATTATTTCTTCAACGTGAAAGTCATTAGTGAGAGTGTGCTAACTACGTATTTCATTAGAGAGAGATAGAGAGAGGGACAGAGAGAGAAATTGTGACTTGTTTTCTGGATTCGAACACGGGCACTTTCAAACAGCACTGCACCAGGCGTCTAATCGTTCAGGCCAAGACGACTTCAAATAACTTGCAGACTTAGACTAGCAGCAGTATTAGACTGCCCCGCGGCTCTCACTATTAGGTCGAGGTTCGTGTGATCGATTCCCAGATCCTTACTGATAAATTCTATATCTATCGTCCACCTTTATTTACTGGTGGTAGGACCTCTTGTGAGTCCGCACGGGTAGGTACCACCACCCTGCCTATTTCAGCCGTGAAGCAGTAATGCGTTTCGGTTTGAAGGGCGGGGCAGCCGTCGTAACTATACTGAGACTTATGTCTCAAGCTGGGTGGCACATTTCCGTTGTACATGTCTATGGGCTCCGGTAACTATTTAACCCCAGGTGGGCTGTGAGCTCGACCACCCATCAAAGCAATAAAAAAAATACATATTACGCACTCACAATATTATGAGTATTTTTATGAATGGTCATACTTTGGTACGTAATTGGCCCGTGTTTGCGGGTCGACCTGTCGTAAGGCGAACGTAATTGTTCTGTTACTTCAGCCGGCCTTTGTAATCGGGTACGGATGTAACAGTCTTGATACTTGTTTATTATTTTTTTTGTGTATTTAAAAATAGTTGTGTGCTTAATTTTTTTTTGCACGATCTCACAGCGCGAATGCTCATCTTGAGCCTTGTGATAATTTTTTTATATTCAAATTTCATAGTAATTACGAGCATTTTAATTTTCACGGTTTTAATTTTTATTATAATATCATGATGATTATTTCTTCAACGTGAAAGTCATTAGTGAGAGTGTGCTAACTACGTATTTCATTAGAGAGAGAGAGAGAGAGAGAGAGAGAGAGAGAGAGAGAGAGAGAGAGAGAGAAATTGTGACTTGTTTTCTGGATTCGAACACGGGTACTTTCAAACAGCACTGCACCAGGCGTCTAATCCTTCAGGCCAAGACGACTTCAAATAACTTGCAGACTTAGACTAGCAGTATTAGACTGCCCCGCGGTTCTCACTATTAGGTCGAGGTTCGTGTGATCGATTCCCACATCCTTACTGATAAATTCTATAACTATCGTCCACCTTTATTTACTGGTGGAAGGACCTCTTGTGAGTCCGCACGGGTAGGTACCACCGCCCTGCCTATTTCTGCCGTGAAGCAGTAATGCGTTTCGGTTTGAAGGGTGGGGCAGCCGTTGTGACTATACTTGAGACCTTAGAACTTATATCTCAAGGTCGGTTGCGCATTTACGTTGTAGATGTTTATGGGCTCCAGTAACCACTTAACACCAGGTGGGCTGTGAGCTCGTCCACACACCTAAGCAATAAAAAAAAAAACGATAATGACGCATTTTATTTTTTTATGTAAGTATCGAAACCGCTTTGTCGCACTACACAAGCATCTTTCGGATTGCAAGCAAAATGTTTGTGGGAACTCTGGGAGATAAACCAGCCTCATTGCAACTGTACCAACGACCTTCGCGACTCTTGATCATAAGAAACGAAACTATCTCATTTTCCTTTCCGCGGCATTCCTTAAGCTCTGTACGAATTATGGCGAGATATTGTCTCTCTGTGGATATCGGGATAAGATTGGATTTACTAGAGGTGGGATGTGTGGTACCGCGTGGTATAGCTAGGTACTGCATTTCGGTTTGAATATTGAGTCAGGGGTTACACGATTTGAAATTTGCTTAGATGGGTGGACGAGCTCACAGCCCACCTGGTGTTAAGTGATTACTGGAGCCCATAGACACCTACAACGTAAATGCGCCACCCACCTTGAGATATAAGTTCTAAGGTCTCACTGTAGTTAAAACTGCTGCCCTGCTCTTCAAACCGAAACGCATTACTGCTTCACTGCTGAAATAGGCAAGGCGGTGGTACCTACCCGTCCGGGCTCACAAGTGGTCCTACCACCAGTAATTACGCAAATTATAATTTTGCAAATTTGATTTTTATTACACGATGTTATTCCTTCACCGTGGAAGTAAATCGTAAACATTTGTTAAGTACGTATTTCATTAGAAAAATTGGTACCCGCCTGCGGGATTCGAACATCGGTGCATCGCTCAACACGAATGCACTGGACGTCTTATCCTTTAGGCCACGACGACTTTAGAGGTCTGAGGACAAAGAGGTCCCGCTTTGAGCCTTTTTTTTTTTTTTTTTTTTTTTTTTTTTTTTTTTTTTTTTTTTTTTTTTTTTTTTTTTTTTTTTTTTTTTTTTTTTTTTTTTTTTTTTTTTTTTTTTTTTTTTTTTTTTTTTTTTTTTTTTTTTTTTTTTTTTTTTTTTTTGCCTTTTTAGGCAGACGAGCATACGGCCCGCCTGATGGTGAGTGGTTACCGTCGCCCATGGAGTTCAGCAATACCAAGGGCAGAGCCAAGCCGCTGGCTAAGGTAGCCTTAAGGTTTTACGACGGTACTAAATCTTACAATGAAACACCATTATCAACCGTTCATTACCTCAATTCGCTGTCTGAATATGCTTAAAGCGGTTTCTCACGGAGCGATCTATGTTCTAAATGTCAACTTTGGAGAACGCACTAATTGTCCAAATAGCCTTTTAAAGGTCAGGGAGCTCTTCGATTGCANGGCTAAGGTAGCCTTAAGGTTTTACGACGGTACTAAATCTTACAATGAAACACCATTATCAACCGTTCATTACCTCAATTCGCTGTCTGAATATGCTTAAAGCGGTTTCTCACGGAGCGATCTATGTTCTAAATGTCAACTTTGGAGAACGCACTAATTGTCCAAATAGCCTTTTAAAGGTCAGGGAGCTCTTCGATTGCATATTTGTAATCTTCAAGACTATATTACGTACATATGTGGCCTATATCGCCCTCTGCAGTCCTGTTAAGAAATCAAGTTCTTTTTATCCACAAATAAATGCAGATCTGACCTAAATCTAGCTGAGAATTCTGTACTACCTTACCATAGATAAAGTCTTCTGCAGCTATGTTTTTTTTTTTTATTGCTTAGATTGGTGGACGAGCTCACAGCCCACCTGGTGTTAAGTGGTTACTGGAGCCCATAGACATCCACAGCGTAAATGCGCCATCCACTTAGAGACATAAGTTCTAAGGTCTCAAGTACAGTTACAACGGCTACCTCACCCTTCAAACCGAAACGCATTACTGCTTCACGGCAGAAAATAGGCAGGGCGGTGGTACCTACCCGTGCGGACTCACAAGAGGTCCTACCACCAGTAAAAATCTCTGTATCGGGAGTTCTTATCATACACATAAGACGCAGATCCGACCCATATCTATGCGAAGGTCCCTATACTGTACCGATATTTCTCGCTGTAATGACATACATTTGTATTCACACGTCAGAGCATTGCTAACTACACACAGTAGGTTCGCGTTTAATATAATTTAATTACTGAATGCAAAAACATGTAATTTCATAGTCTTAGTTGACCAACGCAAGCGCGTGAGAAATGTCCTCGCATAACGTGGATAGCCCCCCTCTGCAGCGATAATACTTTGTTTTTAATATTAAAAACTGATGGTAGGACGTCTTGTGAGTCCGCACGGTTAGGTACCACCACCCTGGCTATTCCTGTAGTGAAGCAGTAATGCGTTTCGGTTTGAAGGGTGGAGCAGCCGTTGTAGTGTACTGAGACTTTAGAACTCATATCTCAAGGTGGCGGCATTTTCTTTGTTGATACTTTGTTGTTACTTTTCAGTTTTACTAAGGCAAGTGGGCGAGCAAGGGCTCAGCCAGGAGGGGTGGAATTTGCTAACAGCTACCCGAGCGCCTCCAAAGGAGACCTAACAACTCAAGAGTAGCTGTTTCGCGAATGAACCTACTACACGTGTGGAATCGCGACCCGCTGAGAAGATCCGGCGAGAAACTCAGCTGATGTTTAAGTTAGATTGAACGTCGAACTATTTGCCGAGTTCGACGAGTACGGTTACTGGGGTCATTACTCCTAGTGTCAGAGCTAAAGGTGTCTAATGCAAGGGTTATTGAATCTGATGGTTGTATATCAGTAGATCAATAATATGTCATAGTGCCATATACCCTGCCTATTTCTGACGTTGTAATTATACTTGAGACCTTCGAACTTGTATCTCAAGGTGGGTGGCGGCATTTACGTCGTAGACGTCTATGGACTCCAGTAACCACTCAACACCAGGTGAGTTGTGAACTCGTCCACACATCTAAGCAACAAAAAAGATATAAAAAAAATTTTGGGGGAATTTGCTCATTATTCTTTTGGTGTTTCATTTACTTTATCCAAGTGTTTGTTATTTGTTTTTTGTTATGAACACTGATAAATAAATAAATAAAACTGTTTTAGATCTCTTCGTTTCGTATTTCGTGAGACCGTAGTATCCAGTGTATCGGCGTGCCATTGTCGGTGCGGGACATCCACGTATAGACCAGCGGCGCGTATAAAACGCAAATAAACCCACATTCTGTTTTCAGTTGCTAAAGTTATCCGACCGTGGGTGCTGTGCTTGCTTATCACGTATTTTGGTATGTAAAGTATTTTTATTATCAATTTTGGTCTACTGAATAATAATCGTCATTTTTGCCGCGTTTCGATTAGAAAGTTTACGTTAGATGGCCGCTGGCATTACTGAAGTCCATGGGCGATAGTAACCGCTCACCATCAGGCGGGCCGTATGCTCGTCTACCTACAAGGGCAATAAAAATCGGGGTTATGGCGATGTGATATTAATTGGCTCCAACAATAGGTCGTGAACACAGTTGATTTGAGCAAAATAAATATATTTTAAATATATTGCACTATTTATACAAAAGTCTTCTTTGTCTCCACCTTATTCCACTAGGTGGGGTCGGCACAGCGAATTTTTCTATCAGCCGTCAGCTCAACACTCACTCCTCTCTCTCTCATATCGTCATTCACACACTCCATCCATGTCTTCTTCGGTCGACCTCTTCCCCCTCTACCTTGCACTACCATTTCCATGCATGCATACATGCATCTCCTATCTACGCATCACATGTCCATACCACGCTAACCGTGCGCTCTTTCATTTATCAATCAAAAATTGAATAAATATTATTCATTACTAGCTGACCCGGCAGACTTCGTAGTGCCTCAATCGATAAACAAAAGACCTAAGCTTTTGTATAAAATAAACTTAAAACAAACAAAAGGAATCCGTCCGACGGGGGACACATCAAAGGAAAAACAAAATTGTTATTTTTTTATTTAATTCCGATCATTTTCATATTTATCTACCTTATAAACCTTCCCTGGACTTCCACAAATAATTCAAGACCAAAATTAGCCAAATCGGTCCAGCCGTTCTCGAGTTTTAGCGAGACTAACGAACAGCAATTCATTTTTATATATATAGAGATAGATGAAATGCCTTAAATAGGTGGTTTGTCAGTTTAAATTAACTATGTTTAAGCAAAACCCGAGTGTTTTTTTTTCCCTATCTTCGATCCCGACTAGGAATCGAACTGGGATCCCCTTAACTATCCAACTGGCCTTCGTTTCTATTCCACACCGCTTCGACTAATTAATAGATCCACAATTTTATAAAACCAAGGACTTCAAACGGACAATAGGGTGACCCAAAAAGTTTATAACCGTGACTTTTAATATAATTAAAAATACCTACCGTACGTGCTTTTACCAATGACAATAGTCTGTAGACTGGTTGATGGTTAGTCTATAAAATAATGTGATATTTGAGTCGACTATTATCAAAGCCGGCAATCTGACTTTTGGACAATTATTGGTAAATCAGAAAAACGAATTATTGACTTTGTATTCCATTGGCAGTCACAAAACTCTTCTGAACGACATCTTAGATAAATAACAGGTTAAGTATTAACCTTTATTTAATGCAGGTTTTGAACCGTATTCTTTGAAGGAGACGATTANATCTTAGATAAATAACAGGTTAAGTATTAACCTTTATTTAATGCAGGTTTTGAACCGTATTCTTTGAAGGAGACGATTATATTCAAATCAATCTGTATCGCCATATCAATAACAATTTTTTGTCCAAATACACAGATTGCCACCTTTGATAATAGACGACTCATTTATACACGTGTCCTGTGATTATTCTTGCTTCAATTTGACAGGATTATGAACTATCCTTTGTCTATATATTGTTCTAAAAATACTATTCTAGAATGAAAAACAAAGATATATTTTAGAAATATTTGTTTGTTAATTCGTTTGAATGCTTTTAATGAACCACGCGTCGCGTGAAAACGTTGGGATATGAAATATAAAATCTGTAAAATGTAAATTGGTAATTGAGAATAATAATTAATATTAGTGTTTGTTTTATTAATATTCTAAAGTGCTTTTTTATAACTAAATTGAATACAGATAAATAATATATGAACAAAGAGTTCACCATTTTTAAAACGCCGCCAATATTTAGCCTGAACGCTACCACATCACGTGTGATATTATTTGGAAATTAGCTGAGCATGAAATTTGGAGTTCAGCCTTACAAAGTTTGGTAATTGAAGAGACCTAACAAAACAATTAAGACTTTAACAATGATTAAAGGTTAAAATTAAAACAATTACAACAAAATTTAACGACATTTTAACTAATTCCAAGTCGCCGTGGCCTAAAAGATAAGATGCCCGGTATATTCGTATCGAGCGACGCGGTTTAGCCCGTGTTCGAATCCCGCAAGCAGATACAAATTTGAAGTCGTCGTAGCCTAACGGATAAGACGTCCGGTGTATTCGTGTTGAGCGATGCACCGATGTTCGAATCTCAGGCGGGTACCAATTTTTCTAATGAAATACGTACTCAACAAATGTTCACGATTAACTTCCACGGTGAAGGAATAACATCGTGTATTAAAAATGAAACTCACAAAATTATAACTTGCGTAATTACTGGTGGTAGGACCTCTTGTGAGTCCGCGCGGGTGGTTACCACCACCCTGCCTATTTCTGCCGTGAAGCAGTAATGCGTTTCGGTTTGAAGGGTGGGGCAGCCGTTGTAACTATACTGAGACCTTAGAACTTATATCTCAAGGTGGGTGGCGCATTTACATTGTGGATGTCTATGGGCTCCAGTAACCACTTAACACCAGGTGGGCTGTGAGCTCGTCCAACCATCTAAGCAATAAAAAAAAAAAAAATATGCTTTTATTAGCTTCAGACGTATGTATGTTTGTAACGGAATTTTTGAACATGATTTTGACCCCCTTCAAAACGTCAGATTAACTCGAAATTTGGTATACTTATTAAGGACCGATGACAATTCAATATTAAAAATAATAAAAAAAGAAAATTGAAAAAATTGAGATACAACTAAAAAATGAAAAATAAATAATACGCTTTTTTTACAATAAAATCATTTTTGCTTACACTATTTTTAATTCAAATATATTAAAATTTATTTTCTATCTCTTAGTTGGATTTTCTATAAAAGCGTTTTTTTTTTTTTAGTTTTTTAATCTATTATTTATTCTAATTTTGTACCTATCTATTCGCTGGGAGCTTAAGGGGCTTTTTTTCAAATCAAATACGTACTTAACGCGGGTTAATGAATTACTTCCATGAACAAAATCAATCTATACTAATATTATAAAGAGGAAAGATTTGTTTGTTTGTATTGAATAGGCTCCGAAACTACTAAACCGATTTGAAAAATTCTTTTACTGTTTGGAAGCTACACTATTCACGAGTGACATAGGCTATAATCTATTTTGAAAAAAATAAGGGTCCTTAATAAAACTCCAATAATGTAACCCAAGGTGTAAAAAAAATACCTAAAATATTCTTTACATCGCATGCCCTGCAAAAACTATTGATGATAGAATTAAATAATTTACTACGACTTTGTAGAACACATTATTATTTACAAAAAGTGTCGGGACAGCATATGTCTAGCTATTATAGTTATGCCGCAATAAGTATTCTTTTATTTAAAAAAATAAAAAAACGTCAGATATCGTTGAAATTTTTGTTAAAGACCCGAGCGGAGTCGGAGCGGGCCGCTAGTATATTATAATTTACTTCATCACGGTAGGTGGTAAGTGGGTATTGTAAGGCCGCACAGTAATAATATATCATGTAATAGTATCGTGTAATAAAAATCAAACCCGCAAAGTTATAATTTGCGTAATTACTGGTGGTACGACCTCTTGTGAGTCCGCACGGGTAGGTACCACCGCCCTGCCTATTTCTGCCGTGAAGCAGTAATGCGTTTCGGTTTGAAGGGTGGGGCAGCCGTTGTACTGAGACCTAAGAACTTATATCTCAAGGTGGGTGGCCCATTTAAGTTATAAATGTCTATGGGCTCCAGTAACCACTTAACACCAGGTGGGCTGTGAGCACCCATCTAAGCAATAAAAAAAGAAGCACTGGTGCCTTTTTTTTTTTATTTTTTTTTTATTGCTNACGGCTGCCCCACCCTTCAAACCGAAACGCATTACTGCTTCACGGCAGAAATAGGCAGGGTGGTGGTACCCACCCGCGCGGACTCACAAGAGGTCCTACCACCAGTAATTACGCAAATTATAATTTTGCGGGTTTCATTTTTATTACACGATGTTATTCCTTCACCGTGGAAGTCAATCGTGAACATTTGTTGAGTACGTATTTCATTAGAAAAATTGGTACCCGCCTGCGGGATTCGAACGCCGGTGCATCGCTCAACACGAATGCACCGGACGTCTTATCCGTTAGGCCACGACGACTTAAATTCCATTACGAACCATCCTATTTCCATTACGAAACCGTCTTGTGTTTCGGCTTTAGAGTTGGGATACCTGTCATACAGTCTGGTGGAGCTTCCCCTCCTCTCTTGGAGTAGGTAGGTAGGTAGGTAGTTTTCACATTGTAGTGTCTTTTTTTTGTTGGTAGATGGTTGGACGAGCTCGCAGCCCCCTGGTAGTAAGTGGTTACTGCAGCCCATAGACGTCTACAACGTAAATGCGCCACCCACCCTGAGATATAAGTTGACCTTAGAATTTATATCTCAAGTTGGGTGGCGCATTTACGTTGCAAATGTCTATGGGCTCCAGTAGCCACTCCAGGTGGGCTGCGAGCTCGACAACCCATCTAAGCAATAAAAAAAAAACTTGTAGATTCAATTGTGTTTACATTTTGCGAAAATCGAAGAGAATAACCCCATTTCGATTGTTGTCGGTGCTATTGTGTATTGCCAAATTGAGCCGCACGTGTGAAGCCGCAGTGTGTTATATCGATTGAGAAATACACTATCGAATATCTACAAAGGCATCGGATACTGAGCTCTCTTTCTCAACCGACGTAACCCGATGAAAAGCGGAAAGCCTATTTACGAAATCAACAAATCGGTTGTCTGTAAAGTCGGTTTACTGACGATAGTTGAACGTGACAACGTCATAAGAAAATACTTATTACTGGTGGTAGGACCTCTTGTGAGTCCGCGCGGGTAGGTACCACCTTCCTGCCTATTTCAGCCGTGAAGCAGTAATGCGTTTCGGTTTGAAGGGTGGGTCAGCCGTTGTAACTATACTGAGACCTTAGAA